ATTACTAGCAGTATAATTTGATTGTATAGTATTTAATCGATGTGATTAACAAAGAATTAATACATTGATTAGCTTGGTTCGAGCCTTGTTTACTCAGTACTTTAAGCCATTTCAGCGACTTGACTTGAGATGCTGAAAATTCTTCAATTAGATAACCTTGTCGATGCTTATATGTGACAGATCATTTTTTGAGAACTCAATTTATCCTCTAGATAAGAACATTCAAGATGCTTATTCTAAGGATTGTGAATCCTTTCTTGTAGAAGGAACAAAGAAATAATATAGAAAAATTTATGATACAGACAATCACTTTTGGTTTGGAAATTCAAATAATAGTTTCCACGATAAACTAAAAGTACTTTTGCAATTCTGAATTTGGATTTTTTATTCTGAAATTCCAAATGGACGACTCATAGCACATTATAATTTATAGAAAGAATCTTTCTTGGTACCATAATGTCATGGTATAGAAAGAATCTTTCTTGGTACCATAATGTCATGGTATCTTTATTTTATTTTATTTTTTTCTCTAACTTTTTGGTTCGATTTTTTTTTTTAACAAGATTAATGGAAAAAAAAATTAAATCATTAAATATGTTAAAAGTAATTTTTTATGGACTTGGTGTACCACAAATCCTTCATAGTCAATTAATTCGTAATAAATCTTGCTACATTAGCAAAAAACAAAAATCAGGCGTTTGATCCATTAAGAAAGTAGTTGTAAACAGAGATCCTTTCATAATATCTTTGAAAGTTGAGAGGTGGAAATTTCTATCCCTAAATGTGGCATCTATTATTACGTCCTTAAACAGTGGAAAGTGTTGCTAATAATTTTTAAAAATTAGCAAAAAAATCATATAGAGTTAAACGATGGCAAATCTGCTATTATGTGGAAACCTTAAGAGTTTTCACAAAACCATACTTATACATAAATATTTGGGGCAAATGATTAAAAGGCCATATTGGCCTTGAATTTAATTAAAAGGCCATGTAGTTTTTTAGTCTTAACTAAGTGGCCTTATTTTTTATTAAGACAAACTAATAACAATTAAACACTAATCATGGTTTAATTAGGATTAATGAAGTATTGTGTAATCTTTTATAAATTTTAATATGTCCCCCAAAACCTGAAATTATTGCAAACAAACCCAAACATAACATCTTCTTCTTCTACCTCCCGCCATTAACGCATCCCTCCTCTGGTTGCTGTTTATTCTAAGCTTCGTCTACATTTTCTTCTTCCTCCTTCATGTACATCTTCTTCTTCCCACCATTAACACTATCTTCTTCCTCCGCCCTCAACATCTTCTTCGCCACAGATCCGCCTCCTTCTCCTCCTAACATTTCGTCCAAATATGTGTATCTCCTCTTTCTATTTTATATTTCGATTTACAAAGATTTAATGATGGATTAGGTTTGGGTTATGATTTTGATTTAGTTTTTTAGATTGTTAGGTTGTGTTTAATGTAATGCAAGTTGAAAGTAGTGAAATTTGTTGAATATTTTCTTGCATTGTGGGTAGCTAGGGGTAGGGTGGTAGCACCGATTATAGGTGGAGATGACTAAAAATATGTTCTGAATCTGATGGATCGCTTAAGCGTTATGGTGTATCATTTAAGCGATCTGGTATGTCGTATAATGCAGTAGATCAAAGATCGTTTAAGCGATTAAGTATATGGCGTAAGATCACTTAAGCGATTAAGCTTATTTATACCAGATCTCTTAAGCGATATACTGGATCGCTTAAGCAATCTAGTAAGCGATATAACAGATCACTCAAGCGATACACCACATCGCTTAAGCGACTCTGCAGATGCTTTTTAAAATCTATCAACCTTTAATATATCAGTTACCAATTTTTGTTTTCTTGCATTATAGGTACTTGGCTATTATTAGACAGGAGACAAGTTGTTTTAGGTGTTGAATATTTTGGTTAGTGGGTGAAGGAAAAAAGTTGCTAGAAATGGATTGGGAAGAGCAAACAAGTTAAACCAATTGTGGTGAGTACAGAAGTTAGTTTTGATAAGTTTATTGGTGAAATCATTAGAAGAGATGGGTTAAGTTGCTAAGGTGGTAATATAGTCGTGAAGTATGTTTTAAATAAATGTTTTAAAACATACGGCTCCTGCCATCACAATAAATTTTTCAGCACAACAACTATATCATGTAAATGTGTGATGACATTACATTTGTGTTTTGAGAAGCTTGAATAAATCATCATTTATATCATATTAAATAAAATTAATTATTTTTAACTTTCATCCATTTTAAATATTATCAAAATAATTGTCGTGTCAAATCAATCAATTTACTGAATTAGTCACGAGTGAGCTATAAAAAGCAACACCAAGCCCAAGGTTATTGCATTAGTTAGGCACTCTCTCAGTCTACAGAGTGCAGAGCAGATGGTTGCAGAGTTCAATTTTATATAAATATTATATTTATTTATATATTATTTTCCTGCTAAGAACTAACAAAAATAATAGAATAACAATAGATCATTCAGTTTTATGTACGGTGCTTACTGACAAAGACTGAAGTGTTATTTTCACATTCTATTAAAATGAAAAAAAATTATTAATAATATTAAATATTAAATAAAAAAGGATTAACAATCGTAATAGAATAACCATAGATCATTTAGCTTTATGTACGGAGCTGTAACTCTGCAAAACCATCTGCACAAACAATCTTTTGACTAGTAATTCAAACTTCATTTACTCCTTAAAATAACAACTCTTTTTAAAATCAAACTTAGAAGAATCTCGAAAGAGTGTAATATTTCTCAATGCTCTAAAAATTTCACCGTCTTCTTCTTTGTCCATATATCAACTCTAAAGCCATTTTCTTACTCGAACTCTTAACATCTTTATGTTTTGAAGAAAGAAGAAGAAGATATGTTCACTAAGATTGCATAGTTATCTAGTTCTCTTCTACCCAAATCTCTACCCTTGAATTTGAGAATGATTATTATAGAATACAAAGGAAATTAGCCTTGATTGTTTAAACGATGCGGGATATCGTTTAAGCGATCATGACTTATGTACACTGGATTGCTTAAGTGAGATAAAACATCACTTAAGCGAACCTGTATTTGAGAATGAATTATTTTAAATATAAAAGGAAATTTGCTTGGTCGCTTAAGCGACGTATGTTATCGCTTAACTCGAGGGTCATACTTTTAGTCAAGCAAACAATATCTTAACTCGAGGGCCATATTTAATAAGGAAAAATGTGTGTCGAAATGTTAAATAAAGAAAGAAATCCATGTAAAATAAAACACAAAATTTAAATTGATTAATGTATTTTATTTATTTATAATATAAAGTTTCGTTAAGTTTGTTTTTTTGACTTAGTTTTTGAATTATTGAATTTGTATATGATGGGCCTTATTTATAATTTAAAATTTCATTAAGTTCGTTTTTTGGCTTAAATAGTATTGAATTGGGTAAAATTTAATTTAATATATTTTTGTGTTTAATTATTTGACTGGGTATTTTGAATTATATAAAATATTGAGGGCTTAAAGTAATATAATAACTTCAATTTTTTTAAAAAAAATTATATATATGAGGGCTAAAGGAAAAATCCGTTAACACATTGACAAATAACCAATCAATATATATTATATACGTATTATTTCGTTTTTGATAATATTAATAACCAACATAGTTAAAATTAATAACAAACATGATTATAGGTTGATGATCATAATTTTAACATACTTTATAGAACCAATGATATTAGTTATAAGATGTTGTGATAAATAATGTTATTTTTTTCACCATTAATGTGATATTACACATCACAGCCATAACCATATCAATTAGAACTAAAGTTGGATCTCTATTATAATTAATTTAGAGTTAAACATACACCCTTTAATGTTATTCTAGAAATATCAATAATTTTTTTTTAATACAACCATACCGAAAGTGAAAAATTATTATTAATTCATGATATAACATAAATTCTTTACAAATAATGAAATGTGAATCCATTTCTTGGATCAACATTATAAATTAGATATTTATAACGTGTACATTCAAATTATTAAATTATATTTTAATCAAATATTAAAACTTGATATCCTTTCAACTCTATAAAAAAAAAAAAGGCTCTTTTCGTAAATTCGTTATAAAGCTAATAGTTAAGGGATGAGTTTAATTGTCGAACGAGGCCGAGTTCACTCATGAGATATTTAAAGAGACTGGACTAAAACAAGTACCCCTCCGGTTTGCAAAATATTGTTAGTCCCTGTGTTATTCGAATTGTCCAACGACGTCCCCTTCCGTTAGTTTTCCGATAAAACTAACTTTTCACCGATTTTGACTTGTGAATAACCAAACCCCTAAAAATAGGTTACTACTAAATTAAAAAATTATTTTAAGTTTTAAAAAAAAAAATCACTTAACATAATAAATTCAATAAAATTACCTAAAATATAATAAATTTTAAAACAATTAAAAAAACCCAAGAAAAAAATTATAAATTTTAGAAATTCTTTTAAAGTGTATATTTTTAATTTTTTTCAATTTTTTTTTATGATTTGGGCTTCTTTAAAAACTTTAATATAATTCAAATATTTTATAGTATTTTTAAGATTTATTTCAAAACTTGTAGAATTTTCTTTTAAATTAAAAAAAAAAAACTCATTTTTAAGGACAACACTATTATTTATTGATCTAAGTTAGTCTTAACGGGAAAAAGCAACGACAGGGGAGATAGTTGAATGATTTTGGATAATACAGGGACTGAATTAATTTTACAAACCACAGGGGTAAGTCATTAAAACGACAGTAATTTACACATAAACATCAAATCAAATTGGCTTTGGCTCCACACTTGTAAGTTTCCGCCATTTCGAAATTTTGCGCACCAAAAATAATATTCAATTGCTTTAATCCAATATCTCTCCCTCATTCGTCATCCAAAAGACTTTTTCTTTTCAGAAACAAACAAGCCTCTCTCCCTCTCTGTACTTTTTCAACCTTTTCTTTTTCTTCTTCACTCTCTTTCTCACTCCCTCACTCACTCCATTTCTTTTTTGTTTTTGCTTTTTGTGTTGCCACGCCACACCATTTCCTCCCTTGCTTTCGCTGCCGAAAAGCAAAAACCCCACCGGAAACCGTTGCCGGTTTTTCACTTTCACTTTCAGTTAATTCACTTATTCACTACTTAAATACGACGAGGTAGATCTAACCGTTTCACCACTCCTCGTTTCAGGTACTTTCGCCTTCTCTCTCTAGTTCGTTTCGCATTGTTGTTTTCTTTTCACTGTTTTGGTTGGATCGAAGAAATGCGCTTTAATTTTAGCTAAAGAACCTGCATTTTCTGCTAGATCGGTTCGAGAATGCGTGGCACTGTTTTCAGAGCTTGCTGAATCTTCTTCTTCAAGTTGTAAGAAGCTTCTTTTTTTTTTATTATTTTTTTTATTTTTTATTTTGTGTGTTTGTTTGGTGGTTAAGTGTAGTTTGAGCTGCATTGCTGAGTGTGCGTCTGGTAGTTGGGAAAAGTGAAAAATTTTGTATTGTGGTTTATCGCTTTATTATTTGATTTGTTAGGGGCGAAAACGACACCTGAACTGAAACCGAAGCGTGTGTTCTGTGAAAATTATACCGATGCAATTATGTATTTTTTTTTTTCACGCAAGCTGTCGGCAACAAAATTTTTCGTATTACCTTCCGTTTCATTGTTGGAAAAATTCGAAAAAAATCAAGTGAAAGTTTAAATTTTTATTTTTATGTTTTGAAGCCTGGTTTCTGAGGTTCAGTGTGTAGGTTATTTACTTGATTTTTGGTGTCTTCATTGTAAAACACACTAACAATATTTGAAGAAAGTTTTAGTTCTGTTTGTTGATTATTGTTCCTTTGTGGTGGGTTAGTGCATTTTGGTCTTAAAATGGAGGGCCCATTAGTGCAACCAGGCGAAGATCCTTTGAAAAAGCTGCAAAGTGAAGAAAAACAGTCCTCTGTAAGTTCAGTTGAGAGTGTGAAAAAGGTTCCAAAACTTGGGAAGCCTAGTGGTGCAGTAACATCAAGAGTCGCAGCACCAACTAGTTCTAGTAGTAGAAAGAAAACAGACCTTAAAAGTGGATCTGAATCAAGTTCTAGGCTGACCAAACCTACTGTAAGTGCTTCTTTGAAAACTTCGAATGCAGTTCCGGTGGTTAGACGAAACAGTACTGGTGGAGTGCCTGAGAAGTCATTGAACTCTACAGCAAAGCAAACAAGTGTTGGTTCGACTGTCGGGAAAAAGACCACTTCTTCACCTTCGGAATCTGTTAGGAGGTCTCTCCCTGAACTTAGAAGAAGTTCATTGCCTTCAGATGTTACAAAACCCACAAGTAGTCGAGTCAGTAGTTCTGAGGCAAGGAAGTCAGTTCCAGTTTCACCAGTGGGTCGAAGTTTGAGCAAATCAACAGAGTCTGAGGCTAAGCAAGGGACTGTCAAGAAGGCTTCGATTAAGCCGGCATTGTCAGTTTCCTCTTCCTCACGAAGGGTTTCTTCAGCTTCAGTGGACAGTAGCAGCAGCAGTGTGAGTAGGAAGAAAATTTCAAAGGTTTCTTCTCCGTCAGCTCGTTCACCTTCAATTTCTAGTGGATTGAGAACTGGGTCCTTGTCATCATCTTTGGATAGGAGTTCCAATTTATCCGGACGGAGAAGAGCTGGGACACCAGAAAGCAAGGATTCTCGATTCATTGTTCTTCCACAGGTGGAGATCAAAGCTGGAGATGATGTGGTAAGCACTAAGTTAGCAACCCTTAAAATTTATATGGTGCTATACAGTAGCTTCTGGAGATCAATTTGGATTTACCCTTCTTGAGATTAATTAATTCAGTTTCCGGTAAATGCTTGTGAAATATACTTGTGTAAGTTAAAATTTTGTTGGCTAATAATTTGGTTGACCTTGTAATGTTTCTGCTTCTACATGACTTTTTTATGCAATTTTCAACATTGAAGGAGAAGCAAATCATTGCCTTCAAACATTTATTGTCCATAATTGTATTGTATTTTACCCTCTTGATGTTCTGAATCCGTTCACATGCTTAATGGGGCATAATGTTGCTATGTTTTTCTTAGTTATGCTTATAGTTCTTTAGTTTTGGTATAACTTGTACTTTCTTATATTTTCTTGACAGTAACTTTTAGTGGATAAAATGCAGAAGAATATGTAGCACAAAGCAGAACTTTTTGTTAGTTATTATTAGCTTTGGTAATGTGGTGTGCAAATGGACCAGATATGCTAATAGATGGTTGTTAAATGTTGGAGAGTAAAAATCCTTAATCCTTTGCTATTGCTTGCCTTCTTTTAATGGGTCTTTCTGCCCAAAATCTCCTAAGATTCAGTATTCATCAAGTTTTACTTGATCTTATGGAATTTCCTTTTAATGGAGCTTTTAATTTAGTACAGAAAAATACAAGTTTATGTAAATAACTGAATGTTCCCTGGTTTCCTTAGCTTTACACTAGCCTTTCCTGAAAGGGGGCTCTTACTTAGTAGTTTTCTGTATTGGCTTACAATTGAAGCAACCTTACTACTGTCTCTCATCTCCTCAAGAAGAGAGAGTTCAAATTTATGTTCTTTATGTGCACGTTCTTTGTGTTTAGCTAATGGTATAACTTTAATAATCATGAGATGGTCTGTTGTAATGTCATTCGATTGCTTAAGAGTGGTTCAGTAGAGCAGCATGCAAAAACATTTAAACTTGTTGAAACAGATTTAGATAATAGCCTGTGTAAGTTTTCGTATAAATCTCTAGGAGCACAAGGGTGAAGGATGGCTACGGTATCAAGTTATTAGATAATAGCCTGAGTAGTTTTTTTTGTTTTTGTTTTTTTTTTTTTTTTTTAAACTCTCAAGGAGCATAAGAGTGAGAATGGCCGTGGTGTCAAGAATTTTTTTTTTCTCCGTAAAATTAACAATATGTAGACTAGAATGTAATGTTAAACATGATGGATTTGATTGTAAGTGTGATTCCTCTTTCAATGTAGTATGACCACCTTCATTTTATATTTGCTTATTGTTTTGGAGATAAGTTTCATGTAATATTGGTAGTATTAATAACCAACATAGTTAAAATTAATAACAAACATGATTATTGGTTGATGATCATAATTTTAACATGCTTGATAGAATCAATGATATTAGTTATAAGATGTCGTGATAAATAATGTTATTTTTTTCACCATTAATGTGATATTACACATCACAGCCATAACCATATCAATTAGAACTAAAGTTGGATCTCTATTATAATTAATTTAGAGTTAAACATACACCCTTTAATGTTATTCTAGAAATATCAATAATTTTTTTTTAATACAACCATACCGAAAGTGAAAAATTATTATTAATTCATGATATAACATAAATTCTTTACAAATAATGAAATGTGAATCCATTTATTGGATCAACATTATAAATTAGATATTTATAACGTGTACATTCAAATTATTAAATTATATTTTAATCAAATATTAAAACTTGATATCCTTTCAACTCTATAAAAAAAAAAGGCTCTTTTCGTAAATTCGTTATAAAGCTAATAGTTAAGGGATGAGTTTAATTGTCGAACGAGGCCGAGTTCACTCATGAGATATTTAAAGAGACTGGACTAAAACAAGTACCCCTCCGGTTTGCAAAATATTGTTAGTCCCTGTGTTATTCGAATTGTCCAACGACGTCCCCTTCCGTTAGTTTTCCGATAAAACTAACTTTTCACCGATTTTGACTTGTGAATAACCAAACCCCTAAAAATAGGTTACTACTAAATTAAAAAATTATTTTAAGTTTTAAAAAAAAAAATCACTTAACATAATAAATTCAATAAAATTACCTAAAATATAATAAATTTTAAAACAATTAAAAAAACCCAAGAAAAAAATTATAAATTTTAGAAATTCTTTTAAAGTGTATATTTTTAATTTTTTTCAATTTTTTTTTATGATTTGGGCTTCTTTAAAAACTTTAATATAATTCAAATATTTTATAGTATTTTTAAGATTTATTTCAAAACTTGTAGAATTTTCTTTTAAATTAAAAAAAAAAAACTCATTTTTAAGGACAACACTATTATTTATTGATCTAAGTTAGTCTTAACGGGAAAAAGCAACGACAGGGGAGATAGTTGAATGATTTTGGATAATACAGGGACTGAATTAATTTTACAAACCACAGGGGTAAGTCATTAAAACGACAGTAATTTACACATAAACATCAAATCAAATTGGCTTTGGCTCCACACTTGTAAGTTTCCGCCATTTCGAAATTTTGCGCACCAAAAATAATATTCAATTGCTTTAATCCAATATCTCTCCCTCATTCGTCATCCAAAAGACTTTTTCTTTTCAGAAACAAACAAGCCTCTCTCCCTCTCTGTACTTTTTCAACCTTTTCTTTTTCTTCTTCACTCTCTTTCTCACTCCCTCACTCACTCCATTTCTTTTTTGTTTTTGCTTTTTGTGTTGCCACGCCACACCATTTCCTCCCTTGCTTTCGCTGCCGAAAAGCAAAAACCCCACCGGAAACCGTTGCCGGTTTTTCACTTTCACTTTCAGTTAATTCACTTATTCACTACTTAAATACGACGAGGTAGATCTAACCGTTTCACCACTCCTCGTTTCAGGTACTTTCGCCTTCTCTCTCTAGTTCGTTTCGCATTGTTGTTTTCTTTTCACTGTTTTGGTTGGATCGAAGAAATGCGCTTTAATTTTAGCTAAAGAACCTGCATTTTCTGCTAGATCGGTTCGAGAATGCGTGGCACTGTTTTCAGAGCTTGCTGAATCTTCTTCTTCAAGTTGTAAGAAGCTTCTTTTTTTTTTATTATTTTTTTTATTTTTTATTTTGTGTGTTTGTTTGGTGGTTAAGTGTAGTTTGAGCTGCATTGCTGAGTGTGCGTCTGGTAGTTGGGAAAAGTGAAAAATTTTGTATTGTGGTTTATCGCTTTATTATTTGATTTGTTAGGGGCGAAAACGACACCTGAACTGAAACCGAAGCGTGTGTTCTGTGAAAATTATACCGATGCAATTATGTATTTTTTTTTTTCACGCAAGCTGTCGGCAACAAAATTTTTCGTATTACCTTCCGTTTCATTGTTGGAAAAATTCGAAAAAAATCAAGTGAAAGTTTAAATTTTTATTTTTATGTTTTGAAGCCTGGTTTCTGAGGTTCAGTGTGTAGGTTATTTACTTGATTTTTGGTGTCTTCATTGTAAAACACACTAACAATATTTGAAGAAAGTTTTAGTTCTGTTTGTTGATTATTGTTCCTTTGTGGTGGGTTAGTGCATTTTGGTCTTAAAATGGAGGGCCCATTAGTGCAACCAGGCGAAGATCCTTTGAAAAAGCTGCAAAGTGAAGAAAAACAGTCCTCTGTAAGTTCAGTTGAGAGTGTGAAAAAGGTTCCAAAACTTGGGAAGCCTAGTGGTGCAGTAACATCAAGAGTCGCAGCACCAACTAGTTCTAGTAGTAGAAAGAAAACAGACCTTAAAAGTGGATCTGAATCAAGTTCTAGGCTGACCAAACCTACTGTAAGTGCTTCTTTGAAAACTTCGAATGCAGTTCCGGTGGTTAGACGAAACAGTACTGGTGGAGTGCCTGAGAAGTCATTGAACTCTACAGCAAAGCAAACAAGTGTTGGTTCGACTGTCGGGAAAAAGACCACTTCTTCACCTTCGGAATCTGTTAGGAGGTCTCTCCCTGAACTTAGAAGAAGTTCATTGCCTTCAGATGTTACAAAACCCACAAGTAGTCGAGTCAGTAGTTCTGAGGCAAGGAAGTCAGTTCCAGTTTCACCAGTGGGTCGAAGTTTGAGCAAATCAACAGAGTCTGAGGCTAAGCAAGGGACTGTCAAGAAGGCTTCGATTAAGCCGGCATTGTCAGTTTCCTCTTCCTCACGAAGGGTTTCTTCAGCTTCAGTGGACAGTAGCAGCAGCAGTGTGAGTAGGAAGAAAATTTCAAAGGTTTCTTCTCCGTCAGCTCGTTCACCTTCAATTTCTAGTGGATTGAGAACTGGGTCCTTGTCATCATCTTTGGATAGGAGTTCCAATTTATCCGGACGGAGAAGAGCTGGGACACCAGAAAGCAAGGATTCTCGATTCATTGTTCTTCCACAGGTGGAGATCAAAGCTGGAGATGATGTGGTAAGCACTAAGTTAGCAACCCTTAAAATTTATATGGTGCTATACAGTAGCTTCTGGAGATCAATTTGGATTTACCCTTCTTGAGATTAATTAATTCAGTTTCCGGTAAATGCTTGTGAAATATACTTGTGTAAGTTAAAATTTTGTTGGCTAATAATTTGGTTGACCTTGTAATGTTTCTGCTTCTACATGACTTTTTTATGCAATTTTCAACATTGAAGGAGAAGCAAATCATTGCCTTCAAACATTTATTGTCCATAATTGTATTGTATTTTACCCTCTTGATGTTCTGAATCCGTTCACATGCTTAATGGGGCATAATGTTGCTATGTTTTTCTTAGTTATGCTTATAGTTCTTTAGTTTTGGTATAACTTGTACTTTCTTATATTTTCTTGACAGTAACTTTTAGTGGATAAAATGCAGAAGAATATGTAGCACAAAGCAGAACTTTTTGTTAGTTATTATTAGCTTTGGTAATGTGGTGTGCAAATGGACCAGATATGCTAATAGATGGTTGTTAAATGTTGGAGAGTAAAAATCCTTAATCCTTTGCTATTGCTTGCCTTCTTTTAATGGGTCTTTCTGCCCAAAATCTCCTAAGATTCAGTATTCATCAAGTTTTACTTGATCTTATGGAATTTCCTTTTAATGGAGCTTTTAATTTAGTACAGAAAAATACAAGTTTATGTAAATAACTGAATGTTCCCTGGTTTCCTTAGCTTTACACTAGCCTTTCCTGAAAGGGGGCTCTTACTTAGTAGTTTTCTGTATTGGCTTACAATTGAAGCAACCTTACTACTGTCTCTCATCTCCTCAAGAAGAGAGAGTTCAAATTTATGTTCTTTATGTGCACGTTCTTTGTGTTTAGCTAATGGTATAACTTTAATAATCATGAGATGGTCTGTTGTAATGTCATTCGATTGCTTAAGAGTGGTTCAGTAGAGCAGCTTGCAAAAACATTTAAACTTGTTGAAACAGATTTAGATAATAGCCTGTGTAAGTTTTCGTATAAATCTCTAGGAGCACAAGGGTGAAGGATGGCTACGGTATCAAGTTATTAGATATTAGCCTGAGTAGTTTTTTTTGTTTTTGTTTTTTTTTTTTTTTTTTAAACTCTCAAGGAGCATAAGAGTGAGAATGGCCGTGGTGTCAAGAATTTTTTTTTTCTCCGTAAAATTAACAATATGTAGACTAGAATGTAATGTTAAACATGATGGATTTGATTGTAAGTGTGATTCCTCTTTCAATGTAGTATGACCACCTTCATTTTATATTTGCTTATTGTTTTGGAGATAAGTTTCATGTAATATTGTATTTTTTTTTTTTTGCTGTGCCCTCTGTTCTAACTTATCACTGTTTCTTATCATGTCAGAGATTGGATCTTAGAGGTCATAGAGTTCGCAGTCTTACTGCTAGTGGGCTGAACTTGCAACCAAATCTAGAGGTAAACTATCATATTGTGGATGTACTAATGCTTATATGCATTCAATTAAGAAAGCTTTTTCTATTCATTTTTTAAATGCCCTGTTATGATTGTGGCTGTAACTCCTTATGGAGCAACTTTATCCATTAGCTTTTTGATCAGTTGTCTAAATTTTATTGGGTGCAATTGATGCTACACCTATACTTGAGAGCAATAGGGATTTGTATACTTAGCTTCTATGCTAGATTACTTAGTTTTTCAACACTTGATATGTCTTAGTGGTGAGTAATTGTTTGATCAGTACAATCGGATATTAAATTGGAGTTGCTTTGTTAACTTAGCTTCAACTTTTTGTGATGGATAAGGATCTGTTGGCTAATTCTGCTATTTTTCTTAATTTTTGTAAAATTTGGTTTGATAGTATAAAGAATGAACATGTAAATGCAGCAGGTGTCTTTTATAGTAATGTGTAAATTTTGATGAAAAAGATACTTATCCTGCAAGAGCTATATAAATTTTTAGTTTTCTTGATAAGGAAAAGTAGTTAACTTTTCTATGAAGAGAAAGAGAATGAGGGTGGAGCCTTTATTTAGTTGAAAAAACTGGGCTGGACGCTAGTTATTTTCAGATAACTTTTATCTTGCCTTATGGAAGTGTTTTTCTTCTTTGTTTTCCACTTCAGTTTATTCTTTCTATGCATTTATTTTCATTATAATTTGGTGGAGAAGTTGAGGTAATGCGCTTCTTTAGGAGGATGGTTAGTCTTGGCAAAGACCAACATATTTGAAAATCAATCTATTGCCCTTTGCTTGAGTAGAGATTCTATGGGAATCTAATGATTCCTCATCCAGAGTGTCTTTGTTATCATGTTTATCTTAAATTTTATCTTGATAATTATTACCATAGTACCTTTGCCTTATCCTGCTCTTTTGGCAGTTTGTTTATCTCAGAGACAATCTCTTATCAACATTGGAAGGCATTGAGATACTGAAGCGGGTTAAGGTTTGTTGTTCCTTTACGTACAGCCTTTCATTTTTCATCATCTTTGTAGTCCTTTTCTTGTACTCTTTTGTTGGCATCAAAAAGTCAAACATTCTATTAACTGAAAATACTTTTTCTTCCTGAAGATAAACAGTTGACATATTCTTTGTGCTCGTAGATTTTTCAATAAATGCCTTGTTAACTGCTTGATTGCATTGTTTTCTTTTCAGGTTCTTGATTTGAGTTTCAATGACTTTAAAGGGCCAGAATTTGAACCTCTTGAGAATTGCAAAGCCCTACAGGTTTGTGTAGTCATTTGTCATTAACCATCTCTAAGAGAATGTTGAATTTATCCTTGAAATATGTTCTCGAATGTTTATCATTTTTTCAGCAACTTTATCTTGCTGGGAATCAAATCACATCACTTGGAAGCCTTCCGCAGCTCCCTAACTTGGAGGTAAGCCTTGAAAGTAGTTGTCAGCTTTGCCATCAGTTATCTCAGTTCATGATTGGCTCGATCTTTCTATTATTTTAAGAAACAGATTTGTCTTGGTTTTTAAGCTTGTATTTATAGTAATTATTACTCATTTATTTTAAATTTATACTGTGTGCATCTTTCTTCTTTCTAGTTTCTCTCTGTTGCTCAGAATAAGTTAAAGTCTCTTTCCATGGCAAGTCAGCCTCGGCTGCAGGTTTGTTCTTGGTTTAATTGCATGTCACTTTCTGCTCCATCAGTTCATGATTAATCGAACTATGTATTTTACTTTTCTTCTTCTTCTTTACCTTTTACAGGTGTTAGCTGCGAGCAAAAACAAAATATCAACTCTAAAGGGTTTTCCGCACCTACCAGTCCTTGAGGTTAGTATTGTGACTACTTTTTGGTATATATCAAACAGCATTTTATTGAAAGATTAAGTAATCGTCAATGAAGAAAATTGTTATGATTGTTTAGTACTATTGCATGGAGAATGACAAGTGCAATGTATATGTATGAATATATGTTTGCGTTGCGTCAGCAGTTTGAAATTTAAATTTCAATGTTTATGAAAAATGGTGGAAGTGAATTATGTGGGTCACTAGTTTTAAGTTGTGCCTGTTATGATTCATATTTTCGAGGAGGAAGCATTGAGTCCGATTGCCCCTCTCTTTTTCTTCTCTTGACCGCTTGCCTGCGCCTTTTCCGGGTGTGCCCCCTTTTTCTCCCTGGGATTAGTCAGTTGAATTAGATGTTGCAATTGATGGTTCCCAACCCTATTTCTTTCCATGATATGATATGGGAAATTGTTGATTGACAGTAGTATCCATTTAGTTATTCAAAGAAGCAGCTCTTTGCTACCGCCCTAGCTAATTGATTGAAGCTTAACTCCTAGTAGTGCACTCACACAAAAAAATAAGTGTTTCTTATCCCAACCCCTTTTCGTAGCCAAAGTATTTACTGGTTGTCCAGGGAAATATGTTGGTCTAGCAGAAACAATTATAGGGTTTAAATTGATCCTGTCCGGAGATTTAGATGGTCTTCTGGAACAGTTATTTTGTAGGTAACATCGGTGAAGCTGCTGGCGCTTCTTTTTTTTTTTTTAAAGTAACCTTGGTGGGACGAGGAATTTCTTTTAAAAGAAATATAAAAGTTGTATGCTCAACAATGCTGGGTGATCTGAACATCTAATACATTTTCGATCGTATTAACTTCTCATCACGCAAATTACTGCATCAAGTGAATTACTTGTTTTGAAGTCTAAGGGTTTGCTTTTAATAATGACTCCAAAACAAAATCTGTTTTGAATTGTGGTTTGTGGGGCTGTGACTTGGTGATGACATGCACATAGACTATTTTATATCTGGTACAGATGTATCATATATTGAACTTGAAACAAAACACTGATGAATTGTTTGCTCTTAGATTTAGTTTGCCACCTTTTAAGGGCTATGAATTTATTTTTGGTTTAATCCACATGCCTCTTTTTTGGTTCTACACTCATTGCAGATGAAATACTATAAGTCCATGGTTTAGAAGTAATTACATTAATCTGTCTATTTAACATCAATCCGACTGTTACATAGTTATACTTTTCAATGCTGTGCTGCAGCATTTGCGAGTGGAGGAGAATCCTATACTTAAGATGTCTCATTTAGAAGCAGCTTCCATTTTGCTTGTTGGTCCTACTTTGAAGAAATTCAATGATAGAGGTATATTGTTACATATTTATATTTCAGTCTGGTAAATTGACTATGTTTTTCTTCTGTACTATGTTTGAAAAATTAATCTCTTTTCTTGCATGTTAAAGCTTTATTCAGTTGATTATGAGTCCCTCCGTCTCTCCCATCTTGCATCTTTTATTTCCTTACTTTCTTAAATTTTCAAGGTTTTGTTTGGGAATGAGTTATTAATCATTGTATTGAAATCCTTGATCTTAAAGAGCTTTGATCTTCTGCTTTATTTTTATTGTAAATTAATTTGTACCTTCTTTTTTTTTTTTTTTTTTTTGCTATTATATAATGTGGGAAATCTGATAGATCTTTCACGAGATGAGCTATCAATCGCAAAGCGTTATCCTGCACATACGCCTTTGTGCATTCGAGATGGTTGGGAGTTTTGCCGCCCAGAGCATGCACCAGGTATTTATCTTGGAAAATGCACTTTACGTTAATGTCTGCCTTCCAGTTTTATAAGATTCAGTGTTTTTGCTGGAGTGTTTCCCTTTTAGCTATTTCTTATTTCATCTAGAATGTTTCTCTTTTAGCTTTTGAATGGATCTTAAATTCTTTAGTATGTGCTTTTAGCTTGGGCCTCCATTGCTACTTAATGCCAGGATAATTGTTCATGACAGTGATCACTTTTCATCTATCTGAGTTAAATATTTTACATGATTGGTTTTTATGTGCAGACTCAACTTTTTGCTTTCTATTTGAGCAATGGAAGGATCATTTGCCTCCTTGGTTTCTGGTCAAGGAAGCCTTTATTGAAAAACCTTCGGAAGAAGATGCTTGTCGCTGCCACTTTGTCTTTGTTCAAGACAGCACCCTGAGCATTGATCCGCAATTAGTCTTGAAATATCAATGGTTTTTGGGAGAGAGACCACTTTCAGATTTTGTTCCTATTCCTGATGCCACTGGTGAGGTAAATGATTCTTTCTATATTATCAATTGTGTCTGAACTTTGTTTGGAAATAGATCCATGTACTGTCATGCTGATGACACCACACAATGATCAGGTTTATTGGCCAAAGCATGAAGACATTGGTAAATTTTTGAAAGTAGAGTGTACCCCCATCTTGGGAGAAACTGAGTATCCTCCTATATTTGCCTTATCTTCTCCAGTTTCACGAGGTATGCCTTCCATTTTTTTGGGTAATATTTTGTACATGGCATGTACTGAAGAAAATTTGGTGGAATTTGTGTTCACGCTTAAACAGGCAGATCTCTAGGGAAATAAACAGTGATCTTGATCTATTACATATTTCTACAATTAACCAAATAAAATCTGGTCTATGATACCACTCTGGAAGAGTAACTTTCTTGTGAGAGGAGTTAATCATTTTTTTTTTTTTTTTTTTTTTTTTTCGTTAGAAGATTCAGAGGTGTTAAAATTTATGAAGATTGATAAATTTTGTTCATGTTTATAGGAATCACTAGATGTCCTAAGATTTACTTCACTTTTATCTCTGTTTAGGGCTTGTTGTGTATAAGCAATTTTGGAATTCCTGCAAATAGTTGGAATAAGGCTCAGCTGGGTTGAGCTGTTTTCCTTTCTCTTCCTTACTTTCCCCTAGCATTTTAGTTGTATAGATATACTCTACTTATTCTCTATATTACCATATATTATGAGCTTCTTTCTGACTGTTTATATTAAAACTCAAAAAGGGTGCATTATAAAACAATTCATAATGCTGCTTCATGATTTTCTTTAATTTCATCTAGTATGGACCTGAAGTTAAACATTTGTTCCAATTAAATTGTTTTTGACACATGCTTATTGAAAGTCTCTTATGTTATATATTCTTCATAGCTTGCATCATCTTTCTTGTGACCTTAATTTTTTCTCATGCATAGGAAGTGGAATCCCAAAGGTTGTGAACCTTGAAGTACGTGGGGAACTAGTAGAAGGGAATACTATAAAAGGCTTAGCTGAGGTTGCATGGTGTGGTGGGACTCCGGGAAAAGGTGTTGCTAGGTATTATTGTGTAATTACTTTCACTTGCGTATGCAAGTGTTTGTGTTCTTCCAAACCCCATCAATGGAAAATGAAAAAGAAAAGAGTACAGTGTAAGTTGTAACTTACATTTTACATTTTGCAGTTGGTTAAGGAGAAGGTGGAACAGCAGTCCAGTAGTCATTGCTGGAGCAGAAGATGAGGAGTATTGGTTGACTATAGATGATGTTGGTTCAAGTTTGGTTTTCATGTACACACCAGTCACTGAAGAAGGTGCCAAAGGGGAACCCCAATATAAGTATACTGATTTTGTGAAGGCAGGTGTGTGGGGAATAAAGCTGTCATGTAACTTTGTTCTTCAAATTTCGTTTTTCATTTTCATTTTCATTTTCATTTTCTTATTAAAGTTTATACCGTTTATTTTTACATGCACTCATTAAGTATTCTGGGTGGTTTATAGTGGGATATGTTATTGGATGTTTGCTCATATTGATTATTTGGAAATTATCTTTTGGATGTCATTCACTCCTTTAGCAGTTCCCTCCTTTTTTACTTTAAAAACTCATTTTGTTGTTTCTGTTTCCTTTTTGTAACCAAAGATTGTCATAAGGCACGAGAAATAACTTTGTTTACTGGTGGCAGCTCCTCCTTCAGTCAGTAATGTCCGTATCACTGGAGATACCGTTGAAGGAAATATTATCAAGGGAGTTGGGGAATACTTTGGTGGAAGAGAGGGTCCCAGCAAGTTTGAATGGTTACGTGAGAATAAGGACTCTGGGTTAGTCTACTTCCCCTTGACATGCTCCAATATAAGATAATATAATAAGAGGCAGTTCTCCTGCAGTGGTTTTCTCTAAAATGATTTGGGGTTTAGTAATTTTGTTCAGGAGATCATTATCATTTGTAACTTTTGTTTCTTTATCCTCTGTCTTCCTATTTTTTTCAGTTCTTTTTCTGTTGAATGGTTACACTGATTGTGTGTCGTGCAATGGGCTAAAAATGATGTCATTGGACGAAAAAAAATAATGCAATTGTAATATACTTAATGTAAATAAACTGAACCACATAAGTTTGGTGGATTCTTTTTAGAAAATTTCAATCTGTTTTTCTGTGGTAAAATTTAATCTCCTAAAGGTTTGCTACCTTTTTTTAAAAAAACTAAATTGCCTCTATTTTGTAATTTTTCTTTTTTTCTTTTGTGTGTCTTCTGTAGAGAATATGTACTGGTATCAACTGGTACAGCTGAGTATACTTTGGTCAAAGAAGATGTTGGGAGACAATTGGCTTTTGTGTATATACCTATTAATTTGGAGGGTTTGTTCATCTCTCTTTTGTTCTTGGAATATTTTANGACTCTGGGTTAGTCTACTTCCCCTTGACATGCTCCAATATAACATAATATAATAAGAGGCAGTTCTCCTGCAGTGGTTTTCTCTAAAATGGGTTGGGGTTTAGTAATTTTGTTCAGGAGATCGTTATCATTTGTAACTTTTGTTTCTTTATCCTCTGTCTTCCTATTTTTTTCAGTTCTTTTTCTGTTGGATGGTTACACCGATTGTGTGTCGTGCAATGGGCTAAAAATGATGTCATTGGACAAAAAAAAGCAATTGTAATATACTTAATGTAAATAAACTGAACCACATAAGTTTGGTGGATTCTTTTTAGAAAATTTCAATCTGTTTTTCTGTGGTAAAATTTAATCTCCTAAAGGTTTGCTACCTTTTTAAAAAAAAACTAAATTGCCTCTATTTTGTAATTTTTCTTTTTTTCTTTTTTGTGTCTTCTGTAGAGAATATGTACTGGTATCAACTGGTACAGCTGAGTATACTTTGGTCAAAGAAGATGTTGGGAGACAATTGGCTTTTCTGTATATACCTATTAATTTGGAGGGTTTGTTCATCTCTCTTTTGTTCTTGGAATATTTTAAGAATTTGCCTAAATTTTCTCAATTATTGATCTGGTAACATAAAAATTGGCTTGTTCTGCAGGGCAGGAAGGGGAATCTGTTTCAACGATATCTCAGACAGTGAAGCAAGGTGCATTATTTATGCTTGTATTTAATGCTTTTATTCTTGGTATGATCCTCTAAAGGCTGTTTATAAACAATGAATGTATTCTGACTTTACTTTGGTGGGTATTTTTCTGACCATTTCTTGACGTACATCCTTGGCTTCATCTTTATTATTTTGGTGCATGTGACCCATTTCCTTTATTCAAGACCTCTCTCTCTTTCGTTGTGATACACACACATAATCTATTTAACTGAAGTGCAATTGTATGTGTACATGATGTTGTTTGCTAGTGGCTAGGATGCTCTATAGTTGTCAATTTTTATTTTCATTATTTTGAAATTCTTTTGGTAAGCTATATTTGTCAATTGCTTAGAGTCATTGACTTAGTTCAGTATTTTTCAAGGGGTTTTTACCTACAAATTTTGCCATAGCTCTGGCTAAGGTCAAAATAAAAAAAGAAAAGAAAAGAAAAACTTGGTTTGAAACATGCAATTTTCTTGCTAATACTACCACAATGATTCATTTTTCATGAAAATGCACTAGTATTATTGTTTTATTTCTGTGGTGTCTCATAAAGTATTGTCTGGTTTGATTATTGTCACTTTTACTTTTGTTCTTCCTGATATCTTGCATCTTTTCTTGAATAATGAATTTCCACTTGAATTGCTGCTATTGTTGGTTTTCATTCTGCATAACATTATTATTATCCTGTAATTTTGATGCTTTTTTGTCTTTGCTCAATTTCCAGCCCCTCCAAAAGTTACAAATGTTAAGATAATTGGTGATCTAAGGGAGAATAGTAAGATTACTGTAACTGGTATTGTCACTGGAGGAACTGATGGTTCAAGCAGAGTGCAGTGGTTCAAGACAAGTTCTTCAATAACGGATGGTGAGAATGGTCTTGAAGCATTGAGCACATCCAAGATTGCCAAGGTAACGGAGATTTTGTTTTCTACTGGTGATCCTTCTAATAGACAATGTTTTTCTTTTTACTTGTGTGTTTAAATCAAAACCTTAGTTGAGATTTCACATGTCTTAGGCATTTCGCATACCTTTGGGAGCTGTTGGCTTTTACATTGTTGCAAAGTATACTCCTATGACTCCTGATGGCGAATCTGGTGAACCGGCTTATGTTATGTCAGAAAGAGCTGTTGAAAGTAAGTGAAACTTTGTCTTTTCCATGTTAAGGAGTGTTGAAATTAAATTGATAAGTATGGAAATGTTTGATGAGCAGTTAAAATAAGTTGATGTTTGTATCATCTTGGAAAAAATTTCTTTTCCCGTTTATTTCTCTTATTAATGTGTTAAAGCTATTGTTTAAACTTTGGATGATCATATAATAAAGGTTATAAATTGAAAATTTAGAGGTTTGTATTTTTCAGTTATATATATAAACTCGTGGTTTGTGTTTCCTATGTTTATGGAAAATAGCATTTAACGATATTATAATTTTTCTCTTCTATCCTCTTTCTTCTTTCGTCTCTCTTTAACTTTTTTTTTTTTTTTTTTTTTTCCCTTTTCTCCTCTTAATTACTTAAAAAACCTTGAATCCATTAGCTCTATGCTTTATACAAAAGAAAACCAATCAATGTGCACATTACAGAACTAGGGCCCTGAATTTCTCTGTTATCATTCTAACAACTTGATAACTTCTCAAGTTCATGATAGATCATATGTCATGTAACAGCTTAGTGTTAAGGTCCCACAGAATTTTTACAACACTAGTGTTATCCAGGATCTTTTGTCTATTTTTTCTTTCATTATTTTTAATCAACTGATACTTTGCATGCTTGGTTTAACTTTGGATTTATGGAATGAAAATAGTGTTGAAGTGATACTAGTGGTAAACATTTCTTTATTCAGTACGTTAGAGATCTTTTATTTTTAAGAGGAAGAATGAGATTTGTAGGCAGACAGAAGAAGAAAGAGAATATTGAACAACTGGAAAAATCTGTCATTAAATACTATATTGCTATGTGTTCCCCATGATTATGCAATTTACCTTTTAAACTGAAAAACCATTAATCCATGATTTAGATCATTGATGATACTTTTAATCTACAAGTTCAAAATTAGTGTAAAAAGGGAACCTGCATCTTAAAGTTTTTAACTTATGCTTTGGCTAGAGGCTTGAAATGTGAATGTCTAATTATGGCAAGTTTAATGGTTGTGCCTTTTTGTTGTTGCTGAATATATTTCCTTTTTGGATGTGGGGCCCAAGATGAGTAAGCAACAATTTCTTTCTTTCTGACTTTGTTAACTCCATGGCCCTGTGCATGGTTAGCTGAAAAAAAAAAGCCTTTTGATTTTCATTCTTAGTATATCGAGAAAGTGTTTAGTAATGAATTTTTTAGATAGACTATTGTTGGACACAGAAGAAATTTCCATAAATACCTTTGTTGTTCTCTTTATCCTTGCTTTTCCACATAAATTGTGACAGTCCTCTCAGGCACTGCAGTTCAATAATTCATATTTCTTAATTCTTGCAGCTCTCCCACCAAGCTTAAATTTCTTATCTATTACGGGTGATTATGCTGAAGGTGGAATACTGACAGCATCATATGGCTACATAGGTGGCCATGAAGGCAAAAGTATATACAACTGGTACCTGCATGAGGTATGCATTTTGATCTACTCATTGCCTGTTTTAATACTTTAACATATTTCTTTTTTTACACTTTAAATATATCCAATACTTGAAAATGCTCAGCATCATTATATAGAGATCTTATGCTCATATTAACTTGCTTCTTTTTGGAGAATCTGCAGGTTGAAACTGACACTGGTACTTTGATACCTGAGGTTTCTGGACTTCTTCAGTATCGTGTTGGTAAAGATGCAATTGGTAAATTCATTTCCTTCCAATGTACTCCAGTGCGTGATGATGGAATTGTAGGAGAACCAAGAACTTGCATGGGGCAGGAACGTGTTCGTCCTGGTAATTTTATTATCTTATATCATGGAATATGTTTGCAAATAATAAGCAAATTCAAACTAGTTATCTGTCATTTTGAATTAATGATGCATTGGGGAAGATTTTTGGAGTAGCTTTCACAAGATGTGAAATGTTATAATTAAAAGCTATAATGTTAGAAGCTAAGGTACAATTGCATTTCTAGCTACAGAATAACTGTCATTGCTAATGAAAGATAGCCAGTTAATAGATATTTATGTTAGTATTAACGTGAGGTTATCTCCGAACTCAGTCAAGATATTTCATAGTGAGTACTCAATAGCGTATTTCTTTTCTTGTGGTTCTGGGATTTCTAGACAGCACTACTTGAAATTATAGTTACATATTATTACTTTTATTTTGTTTGTCTTTCATGTATGTGTATTCTGTTATTTATTTATCTATTTTTTTTTTTAAATATCTTTGAAATCTGCTTCTTATACTGAGTGCTGCTTGGTGATTAGGGAGCCCAAGATTGCTCTCTCTACAAATAGTTGGAATGGCAGTTGAAGGGACTATAGTGAGTGTGGACAAAAAATATTGGGGTGGTGAAGAGGGTAATTCAGTTTTTCGCTGGTTCCGGGTACTTTTCACCTCTATTATTATATTTTCTTGTGTAGTGTTGTTGTGGACTCGTGACCATGATTGGATTGACTTTTAATTTGTACTTGACAACATTTAGTGCATTACTGGAATTTCATTGCCTTTTATATTTGACATTATAAAATGTTAAAAAAACAATATATTCTCAAAAAAATGTTTCCATCAAAAGAAATTTCTTCTTCTTTTCTCATTTTTTTCTTCAAAATGGTTGGCTGTTACAGCAATTTTTTTGGCCACAATCTGAAATTAATCAAGAGATCATGAATGCAGACTTCTTCAGATGGCACACAATCTGAAATTAGGGGTGCCACTTCTGCATCATACATTCTCTCAGTGGAGGACATCGGCTTCTTTGTTTCTGTTTCATGTGAACCTGTCAGAAGCGACTGGGCTCGGGGCCCTATTGTTCTTTCTGAACAAATTGGACCTATCATACCTGGTAAGGAGCTGATTTCTTATTATCATGTTAGGGTTTACTTTTTCTCTCTTTTTGTTGATTAAGAAACTGCAGACTTCAGTATTTATTTATGTATTTATTTTTGTAGAAATGATAGTGTTGAGAAATACATATACCTTCAGGAGCCTGAGTGATGTACAATAGATGTTACATTTAATCAATTTTTTTGGTTTTGGTGTACATTGCAGGCCCCCCAACTTGCCAGTCCTTGGAGTTTCTTGGGTCACTGATTGAAGGACAACGGTTGAGCTTTGTTGCTTCTTATAGTGGAGGGTGAGATTTTTGATGAATAACTTTAGGTTTATTGAGANTATCTCCGAACTCAGTCAAGATATTTCATAGTGAGTACTCAATAGCGTATTTCTTTTCTTGTGGTTCTGGGATTTCTAGACAGCACTACTTGAAATTATAGTTACATATTATTACTTTTATTTTGTTTGTCTTTCATGTATGTGTATTCTGTTATTTATTTATCTATTTTTTTTTTTAAATATCTTTGAAATCTGCTTCTTATACTGAGTGCTGCTTGGTGATTAGGGAGCCCAAGATTGCTCTCTCTACAAATAGTTGGAATGGCAGTTGAAGGGACTATAGTGAGTGTGGACAAAAAATATTGGGGTGGTGAAGAGGGTAATTCAGTTTTTCGCTGGTTCCGGGTACTTTTCACCTCTATTATTATATTTTCTTGTGTAGTGTTGTTGTGGACTCGTGACCATGATTGGATTGACTTTTAATTTGTACTTGACAACATTTAGTGCATTACTGGAATTTCATTGCCTTTTATATTTGACATTATAAAATGTTAAAAAAACAATATATTCTCAAAAAAATGTTTCCATCAAAAGAAATTTCTTCTTCTTTTCTCATTTTTTTCTTCAAAATGGTTGGCTGTTACGGCAATTTTTTTGGCCACAATCTGAAATTAATCAAGAGATCATGAATGCAGACTTCTTCAGATGGCACACAATCTGAAATTAGGGGTGCCACTTCTGCATCATACATTCTCTCAGTGGAGGACATCGGCTTCTTTGTTTCTGTTTCATGTGAACCTGTCAGAAGTGACTGGGCTCGGGGCCCTATTGTTCTTTCTGAACAAATTGGACCTATCATACCTGGTAAGGAGCTGATTTCTTATTATCATGTTAGGGTTTACTTTTTCTCTCTTTTTGTTGATTAAGAAACTGCAGACTTCAGTATTTATTTATTTATTTATTTTTGTAGAAATGATAGTGTTGAGAAATATATATACCTTCAGGAGCCTGAGTGATGTACAATAGATGTTACATTTAATCAATTTTTTTGGTTTTGGTGTACATTGCAGGCCCCCCAACTTGCCAGTCCTTGGAGTTTCTTGGGTCAATGATTGAAGGACAACGGTTGAGCTTTGTTGCTTCTTATAGTGGAGGGTGAGATTTTTGATGAATAACTTTAGGTTTATTGAGAGTTGAAATTTTTGTCATTTCTTGTTTAACTTTTACTTATGACATTAATATATCCTTTGTGATTCAGGGAAAGAGGATATTGCTTCTATGAGTGGTTTAGAGTGAAAAGTAATGGTGTCAAGGAGAGACTAACTACTGAGGGTGAGTTTTTCAGTTATTAGATCTGATTTGCTCACTTATCCATTTGCAATTTGATGATGAAATGGTAAAAAGCTTCTCTTGGCAGAGTTCCTGGATTTGACTTTTGATGATGTGGGGAGAAGGATTGAACTTGTTTACTCTCCTGTGCGAAAAGACGGAATCAAAGGGAGTCCTAAAACAATTGTTTCTGATGTGATTGCTCCTGGTGAGTTGTTCAAATAATAAAAATTAAACATATACTTGCATTGACAAAACTGTCACTGTGTTTTGTGTTTTCCTATTTGGTCACATACTTTGAGTATGTTTGAACACAACAATTGCCGGATGTATGTGAATGGAAAATTATTCATTTGGCTTTTTTTCATACTCTTCTTACAGAATAAGTTGATGTTGTCATTCATATTTAACTGGGTTTTGTTTGCATTCTATAACACTTAGACTTAATCCTTTTGGCCTATTCCATGTCTGTGTGTCTTGCTACAGGGGACCCAGTGGGATTGGACCTTGTTATTCCTGATTGCTGTGAGGATAAGGAGGTAGTTCCGCATAAGAAGTATTTTGGTGGACAGGAAGGTGTTGGAGAATATATATGGTACAGATCAAAGAATAAGCTTCATGAATCTGAGTTGATGGATATTTCTGAAGCTTTGAGTGATGTTCATTTATGTGGCAAAACATTGTAAGTTTGATATGTTTTGATGCATCCTGGAATCTCAGCATTTCTGTTTCCAGTCTGTAGACTAAGAATTCATGAATAATGTCTGATTGTGACAGAACGTATACTCCGTCACTTGAAGATGTGGGGGCTTATTTGGCCTTGTATTGGCTGCCCACTCGTGAAGATGGCAGATCTGGAAATCCATTAGTTGCAATATCTGACTCTCCAGTTACCCCAGGTATACTTTAGTATTTTGTTTAATAGTTAAAACTGTCTTTTGTTCCTTGTTGGCTTACATGTGTACCTACCAATTTTTGAAGTAAAACTTCAATTGTATGGGAGAAATGTACTAAAAGAAATAGGCGGAAAAAAAGTACACCTGGATGCTGGGGTGAGGGGATGTAAGGAGCCTTAGTCCTTAGAAAGCAATGCTGAAACACTATATAAGATTGTGCCTACACTCATACAGCCTTAAATCCCTTTACGTTATGATAACGTGATGTAGACCTTGTATCATTGTTTCTGTTTGGGACTTTTATATTTTTGGTGTTTTCATGAGTTTGACTGGCATTACACATTCTGCTTTGATTGATCAATCAACAGAGAAGTGGTCAGTCCAAGTTAGCCCTATCATACTAAGAGTTTTCAAATGTTTAGTTCTGTTGAATATTGGTCTTTAACTCATTGAAGGAATAAAATGTTGCAGCTCTTCCAATAGTTTCCAATGTTCGTGTGAAGGAGCTATCTTCGGGTTTATATACTGGAGAGGGTGAATATTTTGGTGGATATGAGGGGTCAAGCCTCTTTAGCTGGTACAGAGAAAGTAATGAAGGGACTATTTGTCTCATTAATGGGGCTAGCTCTAGAACTTATGAAGTCGCAGATTCAGATTATAATTATCGTTTATTGTTCGGGTAATATTTCTTTCTTACACTCTTTTACTGTCATGATATATAGCCTAAGCTAGATGGGGTGTTTACAAAATTAACCGTATAGTATGTTATAATTATCACGTGTAGTGCAAAAATATTTTACCTATTCTGTTTTCTATTACTCAGTGTATGACAAAAATAATAACAAATTAAGCTAGTGACTGGTTCAAATTTTGGAGATGGTGGAAGAGATGTGTAAAGATGGGGTAAATTTTATTATATAGCAAAAGCAAAGTATTCCGTTTCAGATTCCCATAGGAATCTGAGTAAGAATACTGCCCCATCAATCATATAAGGAATGGAATTTCTCATTCTGAGTTAGTGTGGTTCTTAATTCAATCGGAATGGTAAATACATTTTCACATGCCAAACATGGGAATGAGATTTCCATTCTTGTCAAACAAGCATGGCCCAAAGCTAGAGNGTTTACAAAATTAACCGTATAGTATGTTATAATTATCACGTGTAGTGCAAAAATATTTTACCTATTCTGTTTTCTATTACTCAGTGTATGACAAAAATAATAACAAATTAAGCTAGTGACTGGTTCAAATTTTGGAGATGGTGGAAGAGATGTGTAAAGATGGGGTAAATTTTATTATATAGCAAAAGCAAAGTATTCCGTTTCAGATTCCCATAGGAATCTGAGTAAGAATACTGCCCCATCAATCATATAAGGAATGGAATTTCTCATTCTGAGTTAGTGTGGTTCTTAATTCAATCGGAATGGTAAATACATTTTCACATGCCAAACATGGGAATGAGATTTCCATTCTTGTCAAACAAGCATGGCCCAAAGCTAGAGTCACTTACCTCTTCCTTTGTGGCCGGATGACTATTCCTTTAGCCATCAAGTTTAGCTATATTTAGGGATCTTGTGTTTAAGTCGCGGGAGAGGTATTTACTACATTTGTGCAATTATCTTGGTCCATTGAGCTTGTAGAGTGTTCTGTGGCCTTGAGTATTATGTGGACCCGATTGACAGTTGTGCTTGGATACCTCAATTATTAAAAAACAAAAAAGCTAGGGTCACTTGAAATTAAACTTTATATTCTTCAGTCTAGCCCAAGTTTGCTATTGCTCTCCTGTAAGTGTCATTGATGGCATTAACGATATTTCATGAATACCACTTTCTGTTCAAGCATTTGTCTCATTGTTGATTGTGATTTTGTAGCATTTACTTTGATGAATATGTAAATGGGATATTCAATTTGTTTTCGCAATATATGGATGTTCACTACCATAAGTGGCTGCTAGATAATTCCATATAATTATTGAATATTTGATGAAACCTACTATCTTTGGAAGCTAACTTGAAAAAGTTTCCTTAGGCTTCTAACAACCTTTCTTTTTTCCCCATACTCTGCCTTTTAGACATGTGAATTTCTATTCTTCAGAATTTCTATTTTATCATGAGAGTTTAGGTGCTACTACTATGAAGGTGTATCCATTCTGATAAACATGTTTAAATGTTTAGGTACACACCAGTCCGTTCAGATTCAGTTGTGGGAGAACTCAAATTGTCTGAGCCCACTGACATCATTCTCCCTGGTAAGTAATCCACTTGGAAGAAGTGAAGCGTTAAAAGTGTGGTCTTCATTGTTGCTTATACGGTATTTGCATTTATCATGTTGGATTGTTACTTGATAAGAAACTAAATTATTGATGATAATGGAGAAGATACAACAAAATTCTACATGCTTGACTTGTATTCCTAGACTTACCTTATTTATTAAGAGTAATTCATCTGATTTTAAAATAAAGGTGAGAGGAGTTCAGGGAAATTCGTTCTACTGTAGAATGAAATAGAGTTTTGCTGAAGAAGTTCAGACAACGTCAACATATGGTTACTTGGTTATTTTTATCACATCTGCCTGCCCCCACACTACTCCCTCCCCTCTTCTTTCCTCCTGTCCCCACCAATTTATGAGGGATAATCTATTGAAGATCCTTTGTTAAACATTAAGAAGGTTGCCAAGTTAGTCCTAACCTTTAAATTAGTAAAAGGAGCCATGCTCTGTGTTTGCTGATAAGATTATCTTTCGTGGGGAAAAGTGTTTATGCCATTCTAGAATTTGTATGTTGTGCATTTATACCTTAAATATGTCAATCATAGCCCAGATGTTAAATGTTCACTTATTTGAGAAGGGTATGACTGTAATGATTGTCGGTTAAAGCTGTTGCCTGAAGAAGTCGGAGAATTATGAACATTTGCAACTCTATCCAACATTTTGTTGTTTTGTGTTTTCCATTTTCCTTGAAAGTAATTATCATGAGCTTGAGCTTTTCATGTCCTTTGGGCCTGCTTGTTAAAGCCTGAATGGTAGAAAGTCACCCTATTAGACTCTGTTATAATTAGTTTGTTGGCTTCAATGAATTGCTTGATGAGATGCAGTATTTATAGCTTATTGTATGAGTAAAGCTTGAAATAATAATTTGAACCGGATATTGGACTGCCCTCCAGAGCTTCCAAGGGTGGAGATGCTTGCCCTCACTGGAAAGGCAATAGAAGGTGATGTACTCACTGCTGTTGAAGTTATCCCGAAGAGTGAAATTCAACAATGTGTGTGGAGCAAGTACAAGAAAGATGTCAGATATCAGTGGTATGACACTGCATCCTTGACTGTACAGCATGATTTAAGTTAGATGGTTTTGCATCAACTGCTAGCTCCACCTCAATGCTGCTATAATTTTCCATAAAATTTTAATTTTATTTGATGATGGGAGTTCATTTATAACAGTAATAAGCCCTCAAGTTATAAAAGCCTTAAAGTTCGGTTTTCCTTCTTTCTTTGCCCTTTTTTTTTTTTTTTTTTTTGGTGATATCTGTGAGTCACGATTCATGTGGGAAACCTGTTCTGATAATGCTGCTTTCGTGTAGGATTTATCCTCAATTGCAATTCAAATCTTACAGTACTTTTCTCATGGTCATATGTAAAATCAATATTTGGGATAATCAATATATAAAAAAATAACAATTCTTGTGGGATTCTGTGCTTTTTTTTTTTTTGGGTATCTCTGAGCTTTAGTTTGAATATAAATCTTTGCATGTACAGATCATGTAGCTAATCCATCTTTCTGCATAGCCTGTACAAAACTTCTGGTTTATCTTTTGTACAGTAATTTACTCCCTTCCTTTGGGGGTGATCTGATACCTTAGTGGATATTATATCCACTTTTGTAATTCTCTTCTTCTATAAATATAATTTTCTGTTTCCTATTAAAAAAGAATAAGAATAAATAAATATACAGAAGAATCAGATGGCCGTTTTCTGTTATCATCTCTGGCTTTTCTTCTTTTTCTTTTTCAAATTTTTTAATCTTTGTTTTGTGAGTCATAATCTGGGGCAATTGTCTTGCTCACTGTAAGTATCCTGATGAAGTTATAAGTTTATCCGGTTTTTTGATATTTATACAATTACTGTTGTTTTCTTTTAGAAATTGTTGTTTTTCTCTTCCAAATATGTGATGCAAAGAGCAATGCAGGTTTTGTTCATCAGAAGGGGATGATAAGTCTTTTGAACCTTTACCTACACAGCGTTCCTGTTCTTACAAAGTTCGGCTGGAGGATGTTGGTCGTTGCCTTAAATGTGAATGCATTGTGACTGATGTTTTTGGAAGGTCAAGTGAGCTAGCATATGCTGAGACTACTCCTGTATTGCCAGGTTATTTGCGTTTCAAGTTCAATGACTTGGGTCAATATCTCTTGTTCAATTAGTTCACATGGTTTACCACAATATTACCTTTTTATCTGGAATGAAATGCTTTTAGTTATATTTTAAAAAGTTACTCTTGCTTAAGTGTTAGAATGGATGTTTCTACATGAGGTGCACAAACGAGCTTAATTGACATGAATGCTATAAAAATATGTTTAATTGAAGTAATTGTTTCGTATCCTTGTTTTAGTCAATCCTATGTAGAAAGGGCAGCTTTTGCCAAGTGGTTAGTGTCCCTTCCTGTATTATTTTCTTTTTTGTTATTGTTTTTGTAAATGTCAAAATACTTTAGTTTCAAAGTCTTCTGTTTTAGTAGATGGAGCATTGGTTTTTTTTTTTCTTCTTTTTTTATATTTAGTTGTGTATTTATTTCTTAATTCTTAATCATCTTAGTGCTTTTCATGGATTCATAAATTATAGAAACTAAAGATTGTTTGGAGGTTCCAGGACTGACCTCTTGGAAGAGTTTTTCCCATGTTGTTTTGTTGTTACTACATTCAACTATGTTCTTTTTTAGAATGAGTATATGCTTAATAATATTCTATTTCTTGTGCTATGAAACAATCTTTTTTCTCATCAACTGTTCCCTGATTAATAAATATTTGTCTCCAGGAATTCCTAGAATAGACAAACTGGAGATTGAGGGGAGGGGTTTCCACACCAACTTATATGCTGTTCGTGGAATTTATAGTGGGGGAAAGGAAGGGAAAAGTAGAATTCAGTGGCTCAGAGCAATGGTTGGAAGTCCTGATCTTATCTCCATACAAGGTAGTCCAAATTCTAAATTTTTTTTTGACTGATGACTGTTGTTCTTTCATATACTATTTTTGTACATTTGTCTTATAAGATAACATTGTAAAAATGGAAGAGTTGTGACAGCGGTACCTGCTGTTAGAATTATAATCTCAATTTTGATTAGGGATATATATTTTTTGAAGTTGGTTTCTGTGTTTTAAATAATTGATTCCAAATGGTTAATTTTGACATTGTAGGAGAGACCGGGAGGATGTATGAAGCTTATGCTGATGATGTGGGTTACAGGCTGGTGGCTATCTATACTCCTGTAAGAGAGGATGGAGTTGAGGGGCAACCTGTTTCAGCATCCACGGACCCAATTGCAGTTGGTAATTTGAAACACCATCCCCTGTTTCTAATTGATTCTTTTTTGTTTTCTTCTCTTACAATTGCTTCAGTGAATTATTACCAATTCAAATCTGTATGATATCCATGAAAAAGTGTCTAAAATGAGTACTTCTTCAGTAATATTGCTCGGCTACCTTTCAGTGGTGGGACATCTGAAGTTTGTCTTCTGATCTGGTTGATGGGGCTGACATAAGTTTGTGTGACATAAACTTACTTCCTAGTAAACGAGTATAGATGCTATCCATAATATAATTTCTTGAAATTATTTAATTAGGTTGAATTTTTTTTTCTTCTTCAATCATAGAAGGTAATAATATGCCCCAAGTTAAATGGAATATCCTATAAATGGCCCAAGTCTTCCCTGACTCTTAAGTCACTGAATGATTGGAATACATTGAGATATTGCTAAATTGAGAGGAGATAACTAGGGTGATGAGACTTGTGGAAGCATGCCTGGAGAGTAAGCTTAAATTTTAGGGGTTTAACGCATCCAATCCCAACATTTTGCCATCCCTATAGTTAACATGTTCTTGCAGTTATGCTCTATATGACCTTGTTCTTTTCTCCCCTCACAACATTCAAAAGCGTGATATATCTAAAGTTTTTAATATATATTTGTTGAAATATGAATGATTCCATCTAGGTGTCTACATTTTTGTTTAATTTTGGAATTGACGAACTTGCAGAACCTGATGTACTTAAAGAAGTGAAGCAAAAGGTTGATCTTGGAGCCGTGAAGTTTGAGGTCTGATTCTATTTCAAGTTTTATTTTGGTTTTATAGTTTAATTTTCTGATTCAACTTAGTGTCAGCAGTAATTTCTGTAGTCTCTTAGTCTCTTACTCGATTGAAATTGATATATATTCAGACAAACACACATGTGCACCTGAAATAAAACATCAGTTCTTTATTCTAACCAGGGAAGCTAAGGGTATTTCTTAGTAAGGGTTTTGTGTTAGGCGAGGTGAAGATGTTTTCAATCTGGTATTTATTCTGTGTGCACAATTATTTAGTTCTTTTGGAAGAAATTAAGGCAAAAATAATCCATTACAAATTGAAAAGCAGGGAATGTGTCCTGGATTGTAAGTGACACAAACAAAATCTGTAAAAAGTTAATATCATCAAGTGTACACCGAGTATACAGGATTTATAAATTCATTTGTATAAGTGGAACTGCAAGATTGTGTTAGACAGTGCTAATCCAGGTGATTGATATTTTTGGTTATTTCCATCAAGTTCAGTCTACCAATTGGCAGATGAATGTAGAAATATCCATAATTTGAGCATTTTGGGTGTGTTTGTTTTAGTATTTTTGAAAAAATTAGAGTTGGGTGGTATTAACGAGATAAGATTTAAAAATTAACAAAAACACCTCCTAGGTTTGTTAATTTACTGAACACCCCTGTAATAAAAACACTCCCATCCACCTATTAAATACTGGCCACCATCGCTGGAGGGTGGCTGGAGTCGTTGTTAAGATGACCTTTGCTAACTAGATCCACCGTAGATCTAGCCGAAAAGCTGGACAGATGTTAAGATGACCTTTGCTAACTAGATCCACCGTAGATCTAGCCGAAAAGCTGGACAGATCTAGCCGGTAGTGCGCCATTATACCAGATTCCGGCCACCTTCTGGCGGTGGTGGTTGGAATCTGGCAAATGTGGGTGGGTGGGGGTGTTTTTGTCAATTTCTAAAAAAAAATTTGGGAGTGTTTAGTTAAATTAAAAAACTTAGGGGGTTTAAAAATAATTGAATAAAATATAATAGTATTTTCAGAATAGGGAAACAAATGTGTATTTTGGAAATGATAGGAATAATTGGTGTTTTCTGTTTTTCAAGTTAAGCTGAGTGTCTTTGTAAAAATGAACGTACTGTGTGATTGCTCTATCATAACATGAATATTATTGTCCTTTTGAAACTGATTGCTTGATCTTTGGAAACAGGTATTATGCGACAAGGACCGGACTCCCAAAAAGGTCTTGCCAATTTTCTCTCTAAATTTTGTAATCTAGGAATTAGTGTTGAAATAATTGTAAACACTATATCTTCATACTTTATTAATTTTACAGGTTCTTGGAGAGGGTAGTCTTGAGAGAAGAATTCTAGAAATTAATAAAAAAAGAGTAAAGGTTGTAAAGCCAGGTTCCAAGACTTCATTTCCAACTACTGAAATCCGTGGAAGTTATGCTCCTCCTTTTCATGTAGGTTTCTTTATAAATTCTAGATGGTTTTATATGCATAAGTGTAATATACCGAGTGATTGTGCAGGAGATACTGACCTCTCTAAACAATACCTCGTTTATTTTTCTTTGTGTTTATACTTAGTGGAGGCCTTACAGTCATGATTGTGATGTGTGACAGGTGGAGCTATTCCGGAATGACCAACGCCGGCTCAGGATTGTAGTGGATAGTGAAAATGAAGTGGACTTGATGGTTCATTCCAGGCATCTTCGAGACGTTATTGTTCTGACTGTGCGAGGCCTTGCTCAGCGGTTCAATAGTACATCCCTCAATTCTCTCCTAAAAATAGAAACATAATTAATCTTAAGAGATGCAGAACTGAATGCATATCAAACGTATAATCTATTGTGCTTTAGGTTTTGAGGCATGCCCATTCTTCTCTCATTTTATTTCTGGCTTGTCAATGCTGGTTTTCTTCCCATGTTTGTGTATTATATTTTCTCGGGTAAGAAATGTTTGTGTTGTGCAGCAGTCAAAGGGTTTGAGTTTATTCACAATTGTGTACATTATTACATTAATGATAATATTCAGCTTGGTTGCAAGATTTTCCTTACCAAACTTCCAAAATTGAACATTTTGAGATTACAATTTGCAACCAATTGAAGCTTCCTTTATCCAATAAATTACATCAATTGGTTTAGACATATACTTACATCACAGCCAGGTGAACTTCAACTTCACTAGGTGAAAAATTGAAGATTTTGTCGACAATAAGGTTGATTTGAGGGGTGTTGGAGCAGTCCCTTGTCCACAAAAACGAAGATTTTAATTGTGTACTAGAGCAAGAAATGACTGATTCGAGTTTGAATTTCAAATTACAATCCTGTATATACAGAAAAACTGAAAGGAAAGACGGGACTTACCCGTACCTTTTCTGAAAGCTTTTAACTACTAACTGTAATATTTGGTATCCGTCAAATGTTTGATTCTAGAGATGCACCAGCTGCCTTTGTAGTCTCCTTAGCTGCATCATACGAAGCGTGAAGTGCGATGAAGAAATAGTAAACAAGCAAGAGAAATGTCCAGAGAATAAATCTCATGAACGAGGGGCCATCAATGGATCCCATGATGAAAACATTTGCAGCAATGCAAGCTGATGGCAACCATGGAAGTAAAGGTACTCCTCACATCTTTGGTTTCCTTGCTTTCTTTACAGTAAGTTGCAGCCCGAGTGTAGCGAAGAACCAAATTGGCACTGTAACTGTGTAGCCAATTCACCCATTTTGGCCAAGTGCCCAGAGAGCTGATGAAGCAATAGAAGCTCCTATTATCAGCGCCAAGAAACCGATGAGCTTATATCTGTCAGAATCTGAAGTTTCGCCAGCAACATAATATCTCCTTACCAGCAGCGCAATGGCGGCGAGCGTAAAGATGAACAAGGTTGAAATTGAAAGGAGGTTTGATAACACATCTAAGGTTGTGAAAAATGCCACAATGGAGTTTGCAATGGTCATGACAACTGTGGCATTAACTGGTGTCCCTGTTTTCTCATTGATGGCGGCAAGAATAGGTGGTGCCATATGTGTGCGTCCAATGTGAGTGAAGTACCGAGCTTGGCCGAGTTAGCCAGCAAGACGGTGGTCATACCCTTCAGTGCACCCAAGGCGATGATGTACTTAGCCCAGTTCATGCCGACGGCTTGAAAGGCAATGGTGAATGGTGCATCAACATCAATCTGATAGTAAGGCTGCATCAAGCACAATGTTGCAGAAAGAATGCAGTAAGCTAGTATGGTGATCACCATGGAACCGATCAGTCCAATCGGGATATCTCTACTGGGGTTTTTAATCTCCTCACCCAGAGTTGGTACTCCATCAAATCCAACATAAGCAAAGAAGAGCACAGCTGAAGCTTTCAGAATACCACGAACACCATTGGGGGCAAAGTTTTCATAATTTGCAGGATTAGCTCGAGTAAGACCAGTGATCAAGATGAAAACCAAGATTATGATATGGATCATTGAGGCAATGGAGTTGAATCTTGATGCCCATTTCATGCTTAAACAAGCACCAATACACACAAAAATCGAGACCATGACAGCAATTGGGTCTAAATGGCTGTAATCTGCAGCAAAGGATGATACATTTAACCGAAAACTGTTGGGATCATGGTTGCACAATGTAGCAAAATATGAAGTCCAGGACCTCGCCACAGTAGCACCGGCAACTACATACTCAAACAGAATGTTCCCAGCAGCAATGTAATAGATAAAGTCACCGAGCTCCACTCTCAGATAGGAAAATGACCCTCCAGCCACCCGTAACTCAACTGAAAACTCAGTGGAACAGAAGACTGATAGCAATGCAGATAAGCCTGATATAAGCTAAGAAACAGTGACAGCAGGCCCTGCATAATTCCTAGCAGCTTCGCCCGTGGCGTGAGGACGAAAATACCAGCACCCATCACAGCACCAATGCCAAACCAAATGAGATCCCACCAGTTGAGGCTTTTCTTCATTTCATGGTGGCTGCGAGCTCGCATTTCATGTAGCTCAAGGTTGTCGTCCGACCGCTCCAGGAGGCGATCTTTAAGCCTTGTTTTGGTGCTGGATAAGGCCTTGAGGTAGTTTCCCCAGCTCTGGAATGATTCCTCCGGCAAGAAATCTTGTTTGGTGCATCCACATCCTCTCTTCTTGAGGCCATTCCCATTCCCATTCCCATTGTCAGTCAACATTCTCTAATCTGCAAAGAAAAATTAAAAAGCCAAAAGGGATTTTTTTCTTTGCATTAAATTCTATTAAACTCGCCGAAAAGTACCAGTGCACTACTACTAACAAATAACTGTGGAGGGTTAGGCAATAGATGAAAATCAAGATAAATCTAGTGGATATTAATTACTTGATCCAGATGGAATTCATAGCATAAAAATATGCTTTTGACTTAAGTTGGTAAAATCTGTGCGGCAATTTAGGATAAAGATTGTTCACGTTGATAATTCTTATCACTCAAAACTAATTTTTAGTCGGAAAATAAAATATAAAAAAACTCATTGTTTGGCGGCCTAACTGGTGAAGAGTAAAATATAAGGAGAACCCACCCATGGTTTGGCGAAACAACATGTCCCACCCTTCAAGTTTCAAAACAACACTTTCCCACCCACTGTTAAGACCTGTTAGTAAATTCTGTTAACTGACATGGTATAATTATTGTAAAGATGAAAACATCCTTTATTATTTGAATCTAAATCTAAATCTTTAGTTTGAAAAAAAAAATTGAAAATCTGAACAAAAATAGTTTGCCAGAATCACAAGGAATAGCACTTGTGCTATGCTGTCAACTGCTGCTGCTGCAAATCGCCGGCGAGGCCACCAAATAACCCATGGATGCCTAACCCAAATCCATCACAAAGTAACACACATCCGGCCAAAAATCCACCATCAAGCAAATGCGAATCCGACAAAAAATCAATCACCAAACAACCTAAATTCAACCACCCAAAAACCAATCGACAACACACAAAAGATAAACATTGGGTTTAAGGGAAACAGGGTATCAAAAAACCACGTTCAAATAAAAGGAGGTTCGCGGGTTGAATGCGTGAAGTATTGGAGGGGTGAGGAAGAAAGGTCGGGTTTCTTTAATTTTATATATAGGGGTGAAATGACTTCATTAGCCTGCGACTGTTTTATAAATTTACCATTTTATCCTTCTTCAGTTAAGTTTAACGGACAGTGGGTGAGAAAGTGTTCTTTCGAGACTTGACAGTTGGAAAAGCGTTGTTCTCCGTAAAATATACAAAGAAAGAACAAACTTTTTGCTTAAAAATAAACAAACAAAAGAAATAATTTTTGTTTTGCGTTACAGGTTATACATACATAAGGTATGAATGAGTGAATGACCTAATTAATACTTGTTTTATATTTTTTCTAAGAAAGAAAAATAAAGTATATTTTATTTTTGATACTTATAGCTCAAGATAATTAAATTTCTTTCTTTAAACAAAAAAAAAAAAAAAATTTTGAGAAGACAAATTTAATCCTAATGTTATTGATAGAAAATTGAATACAAGAACTTTAGATTCTATGAAAAGTTGGAAGCTTTCTCTTTGGCTTATGAAATAATTCCTTTTCAACATTAAGATATATACATAAACTTGAGAACATTTAATAAGACAGTACAAGCAGTCCGAATAATTAAAAAAACCATTAAAAGTTTTCTAAAATTTCACCTAATTACAACATAATTAAGATATGCAAAACCCCATTTGAATTTGTAAAATTCATCTTGCATTAGGCCAAACTTCAACAAGGAAGGTGAATAAATTCAATTCTAATATATAATTACTATTATACAATTTATTTTCATTTATAAAAAGACCAAAAAAAAAAAAAGAATAAAATCCTGAATAAGATTGGCAAACCCTCATAACTTGGGTGAAATGAGCATGTGTTTAGGTGGTTATGGAGTACCAAAATTTGCAGGGCATTTTTATAAACAGAACACATGATATTGCAGAAATGGAAGCGTCAATGGTTTATACAAAAACACAAATGGTTGAAAGAAAATATAAGAGATAGCATGTGTGTGCTTGTGAATGTGAGAAATAAGTAGAGAGAAGGAGAAGATAGATAGATACCTTGAGAAAATAGTAGCCAACAAAGAAGAGAGGGGATGAGAAACAGCTTGTTAAGCCCTCATATATAAATTATAATCAGTATTTATTGGCTTTTTATATGAAAAAACTAGGGTTTTACACTATTGGTTTTGCCCTATTTAATTAAGAAAAATACTATCCTTACAAAGCCTATACAAAGAGGACTACAAAGTTATGTGAGAGAGAAGAAAAAACTAGAAGGAACGAAAAAAGAGAGAGAGAGAAGAAATTAGAAGATCAAGGGTAACAATTGTCTTTGTATTCCCTTTGTATTTGTCTTTATAAGCTTAGTACTTCTCTTTAATTAATGGGCCAGGCTAATCAATTTATTTATTATTATTATTATTATTTTACTTAAAATGGTAGTACAATTTAGACCTTTGATGTTTACAATTTAACGATTGATTAATGGAAAATAACAAGTTTATATTTAATTAACAAGAGTTCAACTTAAAATTCTCTTCTCTTCATTGTTGTTTGAATTTTGAAAAATGTTGTAACCTATGATATTATAAAACATTTATTAAAAGTTTATATGATATCACTATCTATTTATATATTTAAACCTATATATTACAGATTCCAAAAGATGTATGTACATTTTTTTATTTTTTAAACTAAAGTGTTCGGACCGCTTACGTATTTTAAGTGTCTGAGCCAGTTAATTACACATTGACTAATCCTTAGAAGACTAGCAGTGACCTACTGTCATAGTCCTTCACTTAAATCTTGAGACTTAGGGAATTCAAACCTGATGTATATACACTTTTCCTACATCCTTTTGTGCAAAGCCTTAGTTTTAATGCAAATGGTAAGTCCAAGTCTTTGTGGTAAGGAGAATATATATATATATAATATATATTATATTATATATAATATATATAATATATATATATATATATATATATAAGTACATGATTGGGAATTATCTTTTCACTTTTCGGCT